TGACTTCCTGAGTTCCTTGGCTTTTTGTTACGGATTGATATCATACCCCAAAAAGGTAAAAGGCTAGCTAGGCGCAGCTAATGAGTAAGAGCAGGAGGCCACGGCGCGCCAAAAAGTCAGAAAGCACGACCAAAGCGGAAGAGGAGTTCACAGAAGCTGGGAGTTAAGGTTCTTTACGGGAATAGATGGCGCTAGACAAAAGTATATAGTCCGGCTTTAATTAGGCTGGATCTAGGGCCAAGCTTAAGTATGAGGGTGTTGGGTATAAGGTCGACGTTGGTTTGGGGTTGTTGGGTTTGGGGTAGTACAGCCGCAAGTAATTCAAACCGCAGTCATGAATAGGCATGATGAGAATGAGAACGAGGAGGGGGGGAAGCTCTATGAAAAGTTTCAGCTTGCTGCATTTACGAATGACATGCGACTTATAGTAATCCAGAAGTGAAAGACATGTTGTTACTTCTCAAGATACATGCGACTGCCCTTGTAAAATGATTATTATAGAGTGCCTCCAGTTTCTGCATCAGCTGCTGACGGTACTTGAACGCCCCACTTCTTATTCTTGGACGCCTCATCATGAATTCATGCCGGAGGTCCTCAAAGTGTTGGTCCCCTATTTGGGGGTTGCTGGCATGGAAGGAATTCTTCAGAACATCCTGCGGAGATACTCTCAAGTGCAAGTGTAAATGCGCACAAATCAATTTTGTCGCCGCAAGCTTGAGGAATGGATGATCCGGTATCTGGGAAGGAGAGCTTGGGAGACGCTTCAGAAAAGTAGCTCCTGTAAGCTATCTTGCTCCTTAGTCCCTGAGAGGCTGAGGTTCTGACTGTGACTTTGCCCTTATCGATGTCGTCCACAGAAAGTTGAGATCGCGTGCTCCCCGCAAACAAGGGGGACTACTGTAATGAACCTAATGGTCACTCTCTAATGTCTACGTCTGCCGACAGGCTCGTAACCAAATGCGAGCTGCAAGGCTCGCATCCGGCTCTTGTATTCATCCGGATACAACAATTACCCCCAAGCTGCAATCCTTATGATCCTCCCTGGATGTGCTATTGCAGAAAGAACTCTTGCATCTTCTTGGAACTCTTCAGAAACAAATACAGGCATCTCTTTAAAGTACTAAGTATCTTCTACGAAGATCCTCTGCACAGTTCTTTCCCTCGTGCAACGACATTCTCACAGAGACTCTTAGAACAACGATTTAACATGATGCCCAGTATCTCCTCTGTAAACAATAACCGAACAGTCCTTTGCTTCTTCCAGTCGTGAACTCCTCAGAAGTTCGAGATCCGGCTCCGCACGGAGCCCCGACTCTGCGCCATCAGTGGGGGGAGCGGCGGTAGGGACGGGGCGCTGCCCGACCTTAGCGCTACTTGCTAAAAAATTGGGATCTGGGCTTAGGGTGTCAGACTTCGTCAAGATTTCGTGTGGAGATCTACAGGGAAGCATTCGAATACATACAGGTGCCCATTCATGGTATGTTGTCGTCAGCCCTCGCCCACCCCCTCTCCGGTGGTGGACTCAGGCTCTGTCGTCTGTCATCTTCAGGCTCAGGCTCTACCGTTTGTCGTCGTCGGTGTGATGATTGACCAGGCGTGTCAACATGAATTGGGATCACAGTTCATCATCTTAAAGCCCAGCAACGCTCAGGAGTTAGGTCCAGGGTCTAGGTTTCAGGATTTGGGATTGGCATGTCTGCAGGCTAAGATTCCCTAGCACGCACAGCACCACAACTGTAACTTTACCCCCCAAAAGCCACCCAAGCCTTGCATGTCCCACATAATTCTCTCCATGACATTTTGTCATGATGAGCGAGTAATTGTGTCCCCTATGACACGCTGGAACTGAAAACCAGTCTTTGGGATTTGGCCCGGTGGCCAAAACCCTGAGCCATGGGGGCTTACTCTGAGTGCCACCTATCGCCGGCATTGTAGCTATTGCAGCAGAGTGGGAGAGGAGTCTAGGATGTAGCGGGCAGTACCAATCACGGAAAGTTAAGGGCGGAAAGGCTCAATGCTGCTGCAGAAAGGCGGTGAGCGAGGGGGCCTGTCATCATGTACCTACTGGCTTTTCCTGCATGACCTGCAATCTAAACCCTGCACCTCAGAAGCGGAACATCTAAACTTGTAAGCCCCACCCCTGCAAAAACCTAAGCCCCTATAACGCCTTTATCCGCTCCCTGACCCCCAACTCCATAAACCCGAAACCCTCTCTTAACCCTAAAGCTTCAAAAGCCAGTGGGCCTCCCAAATACACAGACTTCAGCAAGTGACTCCAACCCTAAATTCATGATGCGCATCTCGGCTTGCGGAGGTCTGAGCTTAGGTGACCCCTTGAGACCCGGAGCCTGCAAATCCCGAAGCCCCTGGTCCCCAGGTGGCCGGGCGTGCGCATGCCCAGGGGTACAGGGACCGAGCCCCCGCAAGTCCCTGTTGGGGCAAACGGGTCTTCAACATGTTTAGAGTTCAGGCGCCACAGGGACGCCTTTTCAGACTTAAGGGTTTAGGGCTTGGGGTTTAGCAGGAATCAGGGAGTTTTCGTTTGGGCTCGGATTCAAATCAGGGCTGCTGGAGTGAGAGCTCCGGATGTTTTCGTACAGCAAGGGTGCGATAAGCGCTCAGAAAGTTCTTTAGAAGCTTGGTACATGCTGGGAGCAAAAAGCACGATTGAGCAGCTAAGTGGGCTAGAAAATTAATCACCAGCATCAATACAAGACTCTTGCCTCATTGCTGCGCGTACTGGGGCTTCGGGACTACAACCGCGCTTGCTGGAGGAGAACGGGCAACCCTCAACTCTGTAAGTCCTAAGCCTCAACCCTTACGGGTTCAAGCGTAAAGTTCCGTTGGAACAAAAACAGCCTCACAGGCTCGTGCAGGTTCCATAACTCTTCAGGGGAACGTAGGGGTTTTGGAGCAGAGGTTTACAGCTGGGGGTGCCAGAATGGAGTTTGGCAACTTGGTCTCTTGACAGCTACAGGGCTGCACTGGGGTCAAAAGGAGATACAATCATCCCCCTTAAGGATTGCATAGGTTGCTTTGAGAATCTCGAATCACAAGCCCTGAGCTGTTCCCCTGCTCCTTCAGAATCCCCTCTTCGTGGCTTCGGTTTCTCAGGACACCCGCGTTCTCGTCTCATTTATTAGCCAGTTCACCAGAAGTTGCCAGTGCGCGCCTTGCGCTCATAAGTGGCACAAAAACGATGAAACCACGATAAATGAATAACCAGAAATCCTACTAATGGTCACTGTTGTTTCGATCCCCATGCAACTGCCAGACACCCTGACCTCTACTTCCGTACTTCCGGGTGGTACGTTAGGAAGGACGCAAGGAAACACAGTGAGTATTAATTGAGATGGAGAGGGACTATTACAGGCATCCACACCCACGTTCCCCTGTCCACCAGTTTCTCCCTCGACCCCTACACCCCTACAAGAAGCTATATTTCCAGGGCCTTTGATAGCAAGCAGAAGGTACCCTCAAGACCACGCTTACCGCTTACATAATTTCAATGCACATATCCTAGATCAATCGTATGTAAGCATAACGAGTGGACTACATCAGTTTGGGGAGGGCATCAAAGGCGCAACCCAAGAATAGAATTGGTACCACCTACATAGAATATGTATACATATGTGCGCATGTCAACATCCAGGCACACTGCTTTGTTAATTCTAATTGCTAGAGCCCGTCACTTACATAGACTGTGTACACATGCATAAGTGTGCACGTCAACATCCAGGCACCCTGCCTTCTTATTATTCTTGCTAGAGCCCGCCTTGTTAGAAAGGCATGCCATATATGCATAGATGCATGATGAAAACTATCTGCTTCATATGCTTCCTGTCTGCAGGCCTCCAGCCGCCGACCTGGCTGGCGAAACGCTTCGCGCGCCAGGGCGGTTGAACCTCGGATGGGAGGCCGATGCTGCCTTTTCTTTGAGCGGATTTTTGGAAGGGGTTGGGACTCGGGGCGCTCCGTGTAGAAAGGACTTAGGCATAGGGTTGATGTGAAAATTCTAGTGCCCTGGTGCTCAGGATCTAGATTTAAGGGCTGAGTGAATCGGTCTACCAGCTGAGTCACGCTTGTCCACCTGAAGCCGTAAGCCGGCTTACCCAGAGCGGAGGAGGGCCATCAGCCCTCCCTGAAGTGGCGTAGACGGCTGCCACGGCCGTGGACGCGCAACAGTGAGTCCCATCCTGCACGACGCCACAACCATGGAGAACCAACGGGCTCGCCTGCTGAACTGCTTCCGTCCCCAGGCCAAAGCCGGAGTTTGTTCCCCAAGGTCTCACCTTCTGGGAGGCTCTGCGATGATATCTTTTCAGATCGTTCTCGCTCAGCCAGGGCTTCAGGGCCAACGTGACGGTCTTGGACCACTGGGCTTGGAAACTATCGCAAAAACAACACGGGAATACTCTGGAAACAAAAGCTCAACATGTGAGGGGACGGATAAGGATTCGAAGAGATCGCTCAAAGATTCACTTAATCCCAGCACGCTTGGATCCTGCTTGCAGTAGTACGAAATAGTACGAAAGGGAAACCTCTACCCTGAAAAGCATGGGGATCCCTGCGCTCTTAGGGTTGCTGTCAGTTGAAGGCTTCTGGTGTAGGAGCTCCGGGTTGGCGCGAGCTCTGCATCACTCCAATACCAATGCCCCTAGGGTCTCTCCAAAACACCAACACATGGGGGATCGGATGGGGGCCCTGTTTACCTCCCATTGCTCCCTCCAAAACCGTTCTCGAGCTTTGTTCGTGGTTATCCTGCTTCTGGCTTCACCGCTCATTATCCCTTGGCGAACCCAAGTAACCGCTCTACGAGGCCTGAATAACCCCATCCCAGCACTATGTTGAGAATTCAAAAGTTAGCTGATTAGCGCTCAAAATGGAACTGATCAAACTTCTTCTGCTGCTGTTTTGCCTCTTCCTCAACCTGGCTAAGTCCCAGAGTCTAAAAACCCCGAAGCCCACTAAACCCCAAACCCGCGCCGTAGGCCCCTCGCGCAGGGGTTGTGAGGGGCAGCGGCGTTGAGCTATGGGAGTCTGGCGATGCCTGCGCCTCACAGAACACTGCTTAAGACTTTAATGTAGAGGGACGTCTGGGAACCTATCGGTCTACACACACACACATATATATATATATGCATATACACGATCATGCAACCTTTAAAGCGGCTAATACAGAGAATTTTATAGGGGCATAGGTAGGTAGGTGCACTGCACCAGCTCATGCAACTTCTGAGATTTACAGTGGCAGCTGCAACAATCCGAAGGTGGTTCCAGGATCCTCCGCATGTCATGAAAATTTCCAACTGTACAATCTGAAGCTTTCTACGAGGCATCGACCCAAACAACAGTTGGAAGATTAGGATTCTGCTGTTACTTTCACGGAAGCAGACTTTCCAGTTCTCTGGCCTTCACTGCCCGATTTATCAGAAGTTCTAGGGACTAGGGGATGGGTTTGGATAAGGGCTTTTCACCATAGTGTCGCACTCAGGCACCGGAGCGATATGCAGGGATTCTCATCCTGTGTGTGCTTATACGCTTGGCCAACGAAACTTGCCACCATCTCCAGGTGCATGGGTTTGATGCTGTCACCGTGTGCCCATTGTCTCTAGCACCACCAGGCTGCAGAAGAATTGCCAAGAATATTTCAGAGGTCGGTGTAGCAAGCGGCGAAGTATCTTCGATGACTGCCGCCACGTGCATAACATGTCAACAGCGTGTATGCGCGATTGAAGAAGGGCATACGCACTGCGGACAGATGCTTACCATCTAGAGGATACTATCAACTCCCACAGTCCACCAGCGTTGTCATAACGACGGCAATTGCTTAATTTCATAGCATTGGATTCATTCTCAACTTTCAAATGTGAAATATCTTCTAATTGCCTCTGGAATTATTGCAAACGGCATTATGTGCATCTATAACAAATGGCCCATGCTATTGAGCTTCACTATACATGTTTTTGGGCCTTGCGTCAAGTCCAGAGCGAGGCAAACTTGCCAACGCAAAAACAAAACCAGGACAACTTTGAGGGACCTTGGCCAAGGCGGGTGATATGCCATTGGTCAGCAGTTGGATGATGGGAATGACTGTGGAAGTGGTGGTATTCCTCATGATGTTGGGAACGGCGATGATCTTGATGTTCATGATAATGGTGATGAACATGAGGATGAGATGATGACATGATGACATGATGACAACATGACGACATGATGACCGATAGACCCATGGCAATGACAACGACAATCATGGCCAGGTCGGCTGCCTTGTGGAAGAAGTTGTCCCACCTGCCTTGATACGCATACTCTGCGGACTCGGGACTTCAGAATAATACACACACAGAGGAATAGGTATTGTCTGGACAGTTGACATGGACTGTATCAGAGAGAAACACAGGCCCATCGTGAATCCGAAGCTTATAAGCCCAAGACCTCATGCTGAAAAACGGTGCCTCCGGATTCCGCCGATTGGAGTGCCGGACGACAGGGCTCCGCATGTAGCCTCCCTCCAGCGCCTCCTGGACCCGAGGAAACAAGGATGTTTAAGGAAGAACTTGAAAACATGTCTCAACATAGGGGGGGTCTAGGGAGGATTGGCGTTTCGGGCTTTGGGCATGAAATAGAGGCTAGGACAGGATGCAGAATTATGTGTGGGTTTGAGAACATGATGGAGCGCTCATGCTTATACGTTTGAAGGGGAAAGCAACTAGGATGTCGCACGGGAGTTGGGGCTTCGCAGTGGTTGTTCCGGGGTTCAGTTTAAAGCATTGTTTGCACTGAGAGTTTGGGCTTGGGGCTCAGGCTCTGGAGCTTGGTGAGTCACGTCGCCTCACATGCAAGCGCATTGGGATTCGACCGAGGGTCCACCGCATGGGAATACAACTGCGGAGTTGAGCTCTGGAGTCCCCAGATATACAAACTCTGTTAGTGCAGCTAGAGCTCTGGGTGAGGTCAACCCCTCCTCTCAGGAACTAAAGCTCTGCCAACGTTGCGCACAGCTGTGGGCGTGTAAGCGTGCGAAATACGAACATGAGGGATGATCAAGCTGGCAGATGCGTTGCTCCAGCCGAGAGTGAGCTTTCATTGACTAGAAACTCGAGAACGATGCCACAATTACTGGGTTTGGTCGGATAGTAATCATATCTACGAATGACTCTAAGCCTGGCAAGGCACATCTACCAGTGACACAGACATGGGGGTTCCGAAATGAGGCTTCCGCCCTTGATATCCCCACAAAATACTGCGAGCCTTTGTCTAGGGACGCCCCCGAAAGTGCTGGGTGTTTTTGGGTAAATACCCTAGGCCTTAGACCATTCCTGTATAACCCATGTTTCACCTTATATACCTGCATAACTCTATTGAAAACTCCCTTTCTGACTCCAGGGCGCTGGCCTGACCATCAATCCAGGGCGTCCGGCAGCGCCGTTTCCCGCGCATCCGCCTCATGCCACATTTGGGGGCAATTGTGGGATTGCATCAAGGTGTTCATGGGGGTTCGAAAGCTTGTTTGGCTTGAGATTCAGGAAAGGAATTTATGGGGCTTAGAGGGTCTATGTATCTGCGGTGATGCCATGTAAGTTTTCAGGCTTAGAGTTCACAACGGGTTGTTGTGAAGGATTGTGTAGGTGACATTTGCTGTACATCTTTGCACTTTGGCTTTAACGCTTAGAGTTTTCAAGTTCAGGAGCCTAGATTCAGGCTAGGGATTTTAGATGAAATCGGCGTTGCATGCCTGGTTTTTCTACCATCGGAAATTCCACAGAGTGTTGTATCTTATCGGTCCGGTTTGGAGATGTCGAGGGCATGAGGGACGCCGAGGTTGTCCCCAACTTGGGCGTCTGCAGTTTATAAGAAAGAGTGCGCAGCCAATCCGTGGACCCCACAAGGCTTGTCAAAGGAAAAAAATGAGCATCCGGGGTCTGAGCAACACTTTGAAATTGCAACCCGAGCCTTGCATCCTCGACCCAGTTGGAGTTAATTACAGGCCAATGCTGCATGCATGAAAACCAAAGAGCACCTCCTATGCAACCCCAGGACTCTCCCAAATCGTAAGGTGATCCTAAACCCTACGCTCCAAAGCCCACATCCCTACGCCCTAAATCCCAAACTCCTGGGCAGACAGTCCCAAGAACTTAACTCTAAGGTCGGCGGCCCCCAAACATAGGGTACGTTGGGCTCCCTTTATGTTCTTGTATGCACCCTAAACACCTGAACCCAAGCCCTACAAAATCCCTACAAGCAGGACCTTTCACCAAGTCCTGCCTATGGTCTGTGCCGTGGTCATCTTCAGGGCCTCCCATGACGTACTGGTGCCGAAGCCGGAGCGAGAGAGCAAAATCTATATTGGGGCATCTCTTGAGAAACTCCTGTTATCAATTACATGTATCTTTATGAAGGGATTGTATAAGCGGCTTTTTAAGGATCCACTCCTTCTGAGTTTATGAATGTCGGATGACAAATTTGACATTGTTGGGGGTTCAGGGGTTTATGGGGTTCCGTTATAAAGGTAAGCGTGGGGACTTACACAAGTGCAAGTATATAGGGGCGGGGCTCGCTGAAGATTTGGCGGTTGAAGATTCAAGGTCCGGAGTTAGCTGGCTTAAGGGTTCTGAGCGCAGGTTTCGTGCCTTTAGCGGTTCGGGTTCGAGGTCTAGGGTTGGAATGTTCGGCCTGGAGGCTGAGGCTCCAGAAAGGCACATAAAAATCTGACATCGGATCTCTCTAAGCTTCAATTAGAACCTGAAAGTGTAAGGCAACCCTGGAACCCTATTTACACCCAAAACCAGAACTTCGCGCTGGAGGCCTCCCCAGCTTTCGGCCAGTGGCAGCTCGTCGATCTCCGGGAGTCGGCGAAGCCACCCTGGATATGTATTCGTGGTTGGAGTTGTGTTGTGTTTAGCGTATATAGGTTTGAGGGGAAAGCGTTCTGGGGCGTAGGGTTTCAGGGTTCTAGGGCGTGCAGGGTATGTGGGTATGTGGGTATAGGGTTTGGGTAAAGCAGGGATACTAGTGGCAGCAGGGGCAGTGGTGAAACAATGGTTTGGGCATGGTTCGGGGTGGTGTGTGGACTGTGGAGGGATACATGAAGGAGTCGGACGACCGAACGGGAGCTCATCAACAACGCCATCTTGTCCTGCTCAGATGCCATGTTGGCGCAACCGCGGCAATGATGTTGGGGAATAGGAATCGCGGTCTGTCGCGCTCGAAACCTTCCTCTGCAGACTCATCTTCTTGTTGTCTCTTATGATCCGAAGCTGCGCACAAACGTTGAAGTGGTCCTTTGCTCCTGCATGAAGGACTCCTCCAAGGAAACATCGAGGAAAGACTTGAGCTTGGCCGCACGGATTGTATTCATGTCAGCGGCGTCAAATATGTCGGGACTTGAGTCGCGAAGTGTGCGTTCTGCTGACGATGCGCAGCCCTAAACTAACATGGAACCTCTGAAGTGGCCTTATGAAAACTACAGTCCTTTTAAGCAGGGCTTTATGGGTGTGATATTTTGTTTGGGGACGGTACTCGTCTTGATGTTCAGGCCTGAACTCTCGTCCTAGCGCTTCAACACCAAAGCGATAGCTTTAAAGCAGTCATTGCCCTCTTCGCACCAAAAGCACGACATCTGAATGATGGCTGTCTCTGCATGCGAGGCGGGGGATGCAAGGAACGTCTACCGAAACAACTTCAATAGGACAAACCGCCCCCATCCGCACCAAGAGCTGTCCTGGCGATGAGCAGAAACGTCACTGAACTATGGTTCTGGCAGCAAGTGCAAGAGATAGGAGATCACCAAGTGGCGTAGCAATAGTAGTTTCATTCGAGCTCAATTAATATCAGGAGCGTATGTCGAGCTCTCCGCTCTCCGAAGTTCGATCACCTCACCCACTTAGAAAAGATTGAGATCCTTGCCTCACGCCACAACAGTAGGCCCATCAATGTTAGGAATCCACTTGTTACAGTGCTTCTCTCTCAAATATCTTCGTACCCAAGCTCAGAGAGGGACCAACGACTTTGAGGACAGCCCTGACAACCCCTGTAATCTTCTACAAGCATCCCCTCATCTTCCCTACATCTGTCTGATAAGGCCGCTATATTTCCAGCCCTGCGTCAGAATTTTGGCAGCATCTAGTCTGCTCGAGGGGATGAAGTACATTCTGTCAGAAAATCCGTCCAGATCTCCCTAAAAACCCTGCATGTGCAAACCCAACCCATATGAACCTCAATCCCACAGTCCAAATAATTACCTTAAGCCTAAGCGGCAGACCCCAAATTACACATATCTCCATGACAAGAAATGCTTTACTACATGGTTCTCTTAAAATGCTGCCAGTGTGACACCTACTCAGGACCTTCATAATCCGACTCTCATGCCCATGCTCTCCCAAGTCCCTATCTGTGGCACCCCGATTTTAATTAAGGAGCTCACATCCCTAAACAATCAACGCTCAACTGAAGCCCCAATTTGGAGAAAGTCCTGCATGCCCCACCCCCCGGAAATTCCTCTGAATGGGCCCTGATATTCCAGCATTCAAAGTCCGCTTCACCTCGTGGCGACTCCATCGGCTCCGGCATCGCGGCCTGGCTTTCCTACCACCACCGACGCCTAAAGCGCTATGCAGGATTTGTGCATGTTAAGCCGTAGCTTTAAGTGTTGTAGGATTTTGGATCAAGGTTATCAGGTTTGGGGGTTGGGGTCTTCAGCGTTGCGGACGCCTACCAGGGTTTTCTTTCGCATGACTTGGGTTATGGCACTTGAATGCAAGGCCGAAGCAAAACAAAAAAAAAAAAAAAAAA